GAATCTTTATTTGTGACATTCGAACATTTATAAATGACTATGGTAGGTTGAATCCAAGTCAGAAGTCTATAGTCTCTCTGAGCAAGCTTAGTGAGGTATTGAATGCCGACCGTTAAACATGCGCTGTAGACTCTTCCTGTAAACACACAAAGCTATGTTTAAGTTCAGTGTTCCATAAGGCAAAACAAACATGTCGAATGCATTTCCTTCCTCACTAAACATTGTAGATCCCATAATGGGTTCAGTTGTGGATAACCATTTAGATTTTAACGCCGTCTTGGTGTATCGTAACCAGAAGTGTCAAGACGGGGCGAAGCCATTTTTAGATGTACAAAATGTTTCAATAAACCCAAGAGAACTGAAAACACGTCTCGACTTGAAATTAATAAGTTAACCCCGCCTAAAAGCATTTTCTTCTTTATTCTCTATTTTCTTCTAAATGGGACCATCATTTAGAAAAATGAACACGCTAATGTACTGAAGAAAACTTAAACCAATTCGTTTTTTTTTTTTTTACTGAGGTAGTCAATTAAGTAAGAAGAAGGGTCATCTTTTCATCAACTTCTATAAAATCTGATTTAAACTTGTAACCAGAGAAGTCGCCCCCTAGTGGATATTATAGATAATGCAGTGTTCTTCTTCACTGTTTTTTTGCTGCTATTCTGAATTAACTTCCACCAGCTGTCTCATGTGTGTCCTGATGCATGATAATTGTATGTGAATGTTTTCCTTCAAAGTGTCTGGTGAAAGTTTATTTAGTTTAGTTTTTTCGTTTAGATGAAAGGTAAAATCAAGTCTTGAGCGATCCTCTTCCACTTCTCCCTTTATTGCTATTCTCTACCTGTCCACCTGATGCCCTCCACTTTTCCACCTGTCCCAGTCACATGACTCCTTTATCCAGCCACTCCCTCCTGTCCTTCAGTAACCCTCTTCCCTGCCATAGGCCTTTTTTCTAAATACCTTTGACTTCTCACGGTAGCACAGATAGTACAATTTAAATGAATGAGGCTCAATTCCATTTAGCTAACTAATAACATATGTATCACCTGACTCACCTCGGTCTAGTGTAACGCTAGAAGTTGAACCTCCCCTTACGACATACGTTCATCCGTTAACCTCAGAGAACCTCTGGGCCTGTGTAGTATTAACGCAGGTGTGCATTCTTTAGGTGGGTGTGATTTCAAACAACCCTGTTTTTCTGAGCTTGTCTGTCCTAGATGCCCCCCCTTTTGACGCCCTCCAAAAGGCAAGGTTTAAATCCCCATAGATGGAACATCGAGGGTGGGATTTTGAGTGTGTGTGTGCGTGGGTGTGAGCCGCTCCTGAGACAACAAGACTGTTTTTCCCGGAGCTCTTGTCAAAGGTAAACATTCCAGCGTTGGGACGTTCAATGCCAAGCACTGTTTGATCTCCATCATGTGACATCTGAAAGGGATGGAAACAACCCCCACCCCCCTCCCTTATCATCACTCTCCCAAACACAAACCCTTCAGCAGCCATTCAAGAGCTCTGTGGATCTCCTGTTTGGGTCTCAGTGTTCTGATTGATCCCGCTGTGTACATGTTTTTAGGTAAAAGTAGGTCTGCCCCTGACCTCAGATAACTCTGCCTCTGATCTGACTGCAGCTCCCACATGTGGCTCCTCGATGGGAACACATGTTTTAACACCTCATGCCCCCCCCGTCTTTGCGTAGACCTGCTTATTACAAAGATGATACATCAGCAGTCAGTCACCGGCTATGTAAGGTCATATCATGACATACTTTACACAGTAAGGGAGTAATGTCTATAAAAATGGAGCTGAACATTGGGTGCAATTAAATATAATTGTTTAGCTCCCAGCAGCGCTGGAGTCAACATTACCCTCACAAGGACGCAGATAGGTCCTATAAAAACAGTTAATCTCAGGACAGATTAAGACAAACACACTGCGTCAGGAAAACACATCAATGTAGTTATACAATTTTAACTTTCAACTTCAAAGTATTTCAAAATTACTATCAGAATCGTGTTAAATTGTTTAATATTTAGAGAATGCTTTGGTGTTTTGGTGCAGAACATGAAAAAGCAGGTACAAAAATCAAACATTACAAAAATGCAATACAGATATGAGAAGGTACATTCAAAATATGAACTATATGTCTTTACTGGTAGAAGTATTTCAATGTTTACTGTGTTATATCACACCAAAATTCATTTCACACTCCGTAAAAGTATGCAGTTTGCAGTACAAAGTGCCAGTGTACTACGTGTGCATAATTCATTGTTTGACATTAGTATATCTGACGTTAATTATTACAAACACATGGTAAATCCCCCAACAGCCCTTTGAATGGCTTTAAGTAACTTATCACATTTACTAAAGTATTATTCTTAAGTATGACTTAAGTAGTCTTTTTCACTTTACATTTGTTCAATTCTGAAATATGTATTTAGATCTTGCAGTCTCTTTCACATTGTACGTTAAGATAAATATTTTGAGTACAGCCTTGTACTCTGAATTTTAAATAAATAATAGAATTATTCAAATGTTACCCAAGTTTAGGGATCCAAATACTTCCTTCACCATTGTCATATTAACGTTTTATACTACGGTACAAAAACCAATTAAAAAAAGGCGGCAAAATGTACAATATTAACATTGATTTCTGAAATGTAATGGAGTATTTACATGTAAGTGCACAGAAGTACCTCTTCCTTCCGCTGTCAGGTTTTTTTTCACGATGAGAATGAGGCCATTGTGGACTTCCTGTTCAGTGAGAGTGATAAAAAACAAACATGGGGACATCCTGTTGGACATGCTGTATTGGCTGCACATGTGCATTCATCACAAGTATTATAAATAGATGGGATTAATAAAAAACACTTCGACCTAAGATGTTTAGCTGATTGGCTCAGTACATGTTGCACAGACAGACAATTTTGGGGACAACGTGTATAAAATATTCCCCTTTGATGGAATGGTAAAGCCATAAAGGCACACCTGTGATGGAATGTCAGGTATTTCAGAACACGTGCTAAAGCTAAGCAACAACCTCATCTTCCACATTATTTCCACAGACTTTTTTCTTTTACAACAGACAGATATGCTATTGATCTTTAGCCCTTTAAACCAGTGGTAGAAGAAGTCAACATGTTTTTGACTTAAGTATTAAAAAACAGGTATACATACTATCTCAATCCTACCTAACTGGAAGTCTACAAGTATCATCAAAAGTATGTGTGTAGTAATTAGCACCCAATGTGCATATGCCATAATGTAACAGTACATTAATTAGTTCAAGTACTAAAGGGCATTTTTATTTCATGCATCTATTCTTCTACTGTACACTACATTTCACTTTAGTATATGTGGTGGAAATTATAGTTCCCTTAAGATAAACTGATAAATGATTCATGGACAAAGTTTGTCTTTTTTTATATTAAATACAGTGGCCCTGAAGTGCAAGTCAAAACAGAATTTCAGAAAACACCACAGCATTTCAGGAAACACCACTTTTAAAATGTCTTCCATATGAAATATTATTTTACACACTGTCTTTTGATATTGAACTTTGTATGAAGTCACACAATCACTAGATTGTGTTCCTTGTGGTGTCTGACACTTACTTATCATACTTGATTTAGCCTGTTGTTCCCAAGATATAATGAAGTGTTTAATCATATGTGTTGAAAGACTAAATAAAGTATAGGGGAAGCACATCTTAGGCTTGATTTATTTTTGAACATTTAAAGCACACTAAACAATACAATGTTTTCCTATGATTCATGGTGAAATAAAAGTACACAGTTGCAGAACGTGTGCATACTCTAGCCAAATGTACGTGACTATAAGGTCTAATAATTGATACTGTGTTATTGGACTGAATTCACCCTAACAGACAGATGCAAATGTGTTATGGGGGGCAGTGGGACTAGAAAATGCTCTCACGCCACATTAGATTACAATATAGGCTTTATTTAGCCCGGGGCTTTGAAGAATACAAATCTGGGCATCACGTGAGAGTGACTGTTAACACCAGTTGACAGATGATGCAATACTATAAAGCAATTGCATGGAGCCGATCGCAATAGTATATTTTTTTTAAAGGCTCTAATTAACGAAAAAGTGAAAATAGAATGAGTAGTTTGCTTTCATATTATAGTTTATTTCTGTTTTGCGTCATTGTGTGAACGAAGGGATAGGGTCAGGAGTATCAGGACACCAAATGCTTTGCAGCAGACCGTAACAACGTGCATGTTGTCCCGCGCGGAGGGACCATTAAAGCCCCCAGAGTGGCCATAGGGACGTGTCTGTGGTCATGTCAGCGCAGCCCCCATTCATAGCTCTGGTCTATTATTATCCCAGGAAACGGGTAATTACAACGGGACATCTCCTGGACTGAGTCCAAAGCCGGCTTCTGACCGAGCGCGCACGCGTGGGACAGAGAGGGCTCCTCATTTATGCAGTTTTTCTAAGAAAGTTGGTTTCATAATTCCCTCTGTAATGCACGAATGCATTTAGAGGGCGATCTCAGCGGTGTCTCAGCGGGCTCTCAGCGTGGGCGTGCGTAATTTGCGCTCATAACTAGTTTCCCCCAAAGTTGTGGAAGAAGTTCGTGCAGAACAAACCCGCCATGAATGGATAACGTTGTTCCTAAAGAGAGGAGCTCGTTTGTGTCCGCAGGGAAAACAAGGATCTGCTTCACTTCTGTTATCGATTAAACCCCCCGAGTAACGCTGTGTGCACGTATTCCCGTTGCCACTGCTGAAAACAAACAGAAAGAAAGTGCTGAGTTGTTACTGTAAACTGGCAGAGAGGGGTAAAGTAGTTTGGGGTATCACCCGGGTGAGAAAAGGGGGTCCTTGACTGCAACATCAAACAGTGGTGTCGTCACTTGCTTGCGATACGTGCAAGCACTGCCTATTCCAAAATAAATATTGACGTGAGTGTTGTATTCAAATGAGCTGCCCGACCGGACATAGGCGGGCCAATCACAGCCCATCGTATCATCACACCTTCTTTTCAGAAATCATTCATAACGCGGATGCGTCAAACACTCACCCGGCTATAAATACGGCTGCGCGCAACGCACAGTTAGACATTTTCCCAAAATCAAACGCAAGACGCAACTGAGCAAGAACCGTGGGAATCCGGCTTCTTTACCTTTGATTCAACCTCTCTACCTTGCTCTACATTTTTATATTCTATATTTAATATCCAGCTCACTGTGTTGACCATGGGTGGATTATATTTGAAGCACGTCGTGGTGGCAGCGCTGTGCTCCGTGCTGGCCACAGGGACGCTGGGGTTCCCGGTGGTGGGGCCAGAGCCGATCCGATGCGCCCCGTGTTCTCCGGAGAAGCTGAGCCAGTGTCCAGCGGTGGCACCCGGATGCGCCGAGGTGTTGCGGGAACCCGGCTGTGGATGCTGCCTCGCCTGCGCCCTGAAGGCTGAGGAGCTGTGCGGGATCTACACGGCGCCGTGCGGCTCCGGACTGAGGTGCACCCCGAGACCCGGCGACCCCCGGCCGCTGCACTCCCTCACCCGGGGACAAGCCGTGTGCACGGAGAGCACTGAGCAGGAGCTGATCCCCGAGCCCCAGACACAAGGTAGGCCTATATGATCCAGCACCCACATCAAAAATCCTCATTCTCACAATCCCCAAAGTCTGATAACAGTTACATCCAGTCAGTGCCGCTTGATTTATTCTATTTTCTTCCTCAGATCAGGGAGAGCCAGAGGCAGAGATGGACAACGTAGCCATCGTCTCGGACCCCGGCTCCAGCCACTACCTCCCCGGCCACAGTAACCCCTTCGACCCGAGGGTTGCTCTCGACGCTCAGGAGAGCATGAAAGCCAAACTCGTAGCCATCCGCAAGAAACTGGTGGAACAGGTGAGAGCCAGAACCCTGCACCAGTACCATTGTGTGAATTCTGTGAGATTCCCCTGAGTGCAAAATGTTGCTAAAAGTTTTTGGGGAGGTTTAAAGGGGGGAAATGACTCGTGCACCACAAGAGGGAGCTCGTGTGCTATTTGAGGATATGGTGTAGAGAGAGAGGGGGAGGGGGCATGGTATTACAAGTTTTATATTGATGTCAGCCCACGTGCTTGCTGATAATAAAGCAGTATTATTTCTGTGTTGGCACTCAGTTAACCCATCCCTTGTCTGTTTCATCTCCACAGGGGCCCTGTCATGTTGAGCTGCAGAGAGCCTTGGATACAATTGCCAAATCCCAGCAGAAGTTAGGAGACAAATTAACCAGATTCTACCTCCCCAACTGTGACAAACACGGGCTCTACAAACCCAAACAGGTTGGTACATTCAGCAAAATGTGCTCTGAGTGTGTGTATGACTCCATGACAGCATTAAGTTGCATGTGAGCCAATATTATGTCAACCACAGTTTAGCAAATGAGTGTGTGATGCAGGTAGGGATGTGTTTGGCACCTCCACAATGTGTGTTTTGTTGGAGTGTGGTGTCACCCAGTTGCATGACTGTACATGTGTGTGACACATGGGCAGTTGAATTAAAAAATGATTTTGTGTTTCTCCTGCAGTGTGAATCCTCTCTTGATGGACAGAGTGGTCGATGCTGGTGTGTGAGCTCCTGGAACGGAAAGAAGATGTTAGGTTCCACCGACCTGCCTGCAGAAGCCGAGTGCCCTTAAAGAGATCACCCTCTGATGAAGATCTCACAAACAAAAAAGAAGAAGCAAGCCACTGATTTTCTTTCTATTTTTTTGATAGCTGTTTATTTATTGATCCTGTCCATGGTGGTGTTTAATTCAGGTACACTGTCATTGTGGGGTTTCTGGGTCCAAGCCACCCAAAAACCCCTCCCCCCTCCCTCCTCTTCAAACACCCGTCCAAAAGAGAAAAAGAAAATCTATTTTTGTTTTCTGAAAGATTTTAATATTGTTGCATTTACTTCTACTCTTTAGCCTTATTTATTTCAACATTATTTCATTTGTTATTTGTAATTATTTTATGAGTATTTATATCTTTTTTTTTTGCGTTATTGTTATTATTATATTATTATTTTTGATGGGTGTATAAAGTGTATATATGTATCTTGTCCCTGAGGAACTCCACTGCTGAGTTGAGCTCGCTCTACCCTTAAAGGAGTTGTCTGGAGGTTTGGTTTGTGACAAACCAAGCAAGAACAAAAGCACTGAGTGACCAAAAGTCATTTAGAAGTATTTCTAAATGTTGTTTTTATGATTCATTTTCACATTGTTGCCATTGTTATGGACTTTTTTGTTGTTATTATTGTGTTTTTTTATTTTCTCATGTGGCACACGATCAGCTCTTGTAAGTGAATGCAAAACTCTCAGTCCTTAAACAGTACTCAGAAAACATTTCCCATGGTTCCATGGGGTTACAGTTAGCACGACAGGCGGTGCCACCCATGCACCGCTTCTCACACGGGTATTTCTACATTAACCTACCTCCGATATTTATGTGTCTGTTGTCAGTTGTGTTGATGTATATGTCAAAAAAAGACTTGCTATTTTACTTTTCATGTCGCTGTTCTCTCTGACAAAGAACACATGACCACAAAGAGCGCGTCCGCTCGACCTACATGCTGCTGTTGGAGAGATAATTATTGTTTATGTGAGTCTATTCCAAAGTGACTAACTGCTCATATGTACACTTTTGTAATTGAGATGTAATGTAAGAAGAAAAAAAGGTGATATATTTAATAAAAACATTAACCTCAGCTATGTGGCCTCTCTTTCACCTCAGGCAGGTTGCACAAACATCCATAGGTGGCAAAAACATAAACATCACAATAGTTCCATCAGGACATGATTATGAAAGTCTGCGTTCAGATGCACCCATGCACCACATATTTCTATATTGGGTGTTTTTGTGCAGTCTTATCACGGGGATCTAAAGTGGAGGTCTTTGTCTAACTTTAGGCAGTTCGCGGGGACGTGCAGCACCGCGCTGCCTTTTGACCTGCTCTCTGTTTGCCTTGGTCGGGCACAGGAATTCGTCTCAACCTCTCGTGCCCACTGCCAGCCTGCATGGCACCACCAGATTTATTTAGATTTTTTTACAAATTGAACCTCTGCTTTATCCTTATTGACACATTCCATTCAAGGACTTCAACAGGAGCAAATTTGAGTTCTGATGATCGACCCTTTTAGAGATTAAACAAGTCATGCAAGGACAAAAACAAACATCTGAGACGGCATCTTAAAATGTGTTCACTTTTTATTTAAAAAAAGACATTAAATACAAATTATATCTTGAATCAAAATCATTTTCTTTCTCAGAAAACAATAGCTGTGTGATTTCTAGTTTAGTATCATGAAAAGCTTGAATCAAAAAAATTCTTTGAAGGATAAACTTGAAATGAAAAACAAAACAATTACATTTACCCGTGAACAGAGAGATTCTTAACGTGACCAGCAGGGAGCAAATAAATGATGATAAAGAAAGTGACGTTACAGAAGTGTGAGCCTGGCTCTGCACTGACAGACTGAGGCGGGATGGCTGGGTGTGCATGGAGAGAAGTGACTGACGGAGAGGTGAGAGGTTCACTGGCCTAAAGAAGCCGTGAACCAGAGACCTGAGTGCCTGAACAGATTCTGCCTGTGGCTGAAACTCGCCTGCTGGGCACAGAGCTTACAAATGACCCTGCAGAGCAACAGAAGGAAAAAAGGTTCATAACAAAATAAAACAGTCATTAGTGATTATATTCCCCAAAATACACTGAATCAAATAGACTTTGCTGTGCAATCGGTGAGTCACTGAATTGTTCATAAGAAAACCTAGTTTGGATCAGCTTATAATTCTTTCTTAGATAAATAATTTGTATTTTTAAGTACTGTACATGATGTCTAGTCCGACACATTAGCTGGCCAAGAAATAATAATAATAATATATAAAAAGACACACTTACAAATATTAGGGAGGGAATAGCTTAAACATATTTGTATGTATGTTCCTCCCCTACATCACGTCTTTGAATAGGTGGGATATAGCACCAACAGTTGGTTGTTAAGTTGCTGCGCTCTATCAAAGGAGGTGTGCGGCCGATGTAATGCTACCAAGCTACTGGGCGAGCATTCTTTGTCAGCACTCTCTCCACTTTTCAAGTCTTTACACAGGATGTGGGAGAGCATCATGCAGGAAGCTCCTCGGGAGGACCTTGCCTCCTCCCTCAGACCCCCTACCACTTGTGTGAATGCATATTTGGTGCTGTGTCCACCTTGTGGAGATTTGTTGGCATACGATCATACAAGCATGTTTTTTTTTCTCCAAAGAAACAAAAACAACAACAACAACAAAAGAATAGTTGCATTGAATGGAAAAAACTCTGAAGGGGTGTTTGCTGTCAGAAGTCCTGGTGTAGCTTTTTTTTGTCTTATTCCCCCCCCTTCCTCCCTGGGTTATTATTGTTTTCTTACAGTATCACACTGATTCATCTGACATTACCTCGAAGGAAAGGTATGCAGATGCAGATAGGTCCAATTGTCTTTAACGGCATGCATTGACGAGTAGCGGCACAGCTAAAGTGCTTTAAGTGCTTGTGCTTGAAGCATAGGGGCAGCTGGCACCTGCGGGGGGCGGGCCGGTCACACCGGGCTCGCCCCGTTTAAACAAGACTATGCACCACTGACAGGAAGAGGTGGGGCAGGGGGCTGGAGTGGGGACTAACAGCTCGGGATAGTGGGGTTGGAGAAGGGATCAGGCACACAGACAAGGACAACGTTTTACATGGGGGTAAAGACATCTATGATGGGAGGAACTCAGCACCGTAGCTGAATGATGGACACGGGACAAGGGCGAGGAAGAACACGGGACACAAGGTTAGAGGAACAATGGGACAGGGACTGGACAGTGGGTGGTGGGAAAGAGACATGAGACTGATCCCTGCAGGGCGGCATGTGAACACTTCACCAACAATCTATCCTTTTAGTTTTAAATACTTGAGTGATCTCGTATATTTGTAGGCCACAGACCTTATTTGGGAATCTAACCAAAAGAATATCAGAGAAGTCTGTAACCGGGCTTATATTTTGGCACATTTTGCATCTTAATCCACTTGTTGATGGGATCCCTCAGTATGTTCCAGATTCTTTCTACTGATTTCTTCATATAGGATCATCCATCAAGTCTGCTGTTATCCTGTGGTGAAGGAGTATTTGATACTCAAAAGGTAGATGTTCAGTGAAGTGTTCCTTTATTGGAGGACTACAGGGTGAAGGGGAGGGGAGGCATGGGAAGGTCAGTTTGCAAGGCACTGTAATTGCATGGTTTGCCTGTATTCTCTTCCCAATAGCAGGGCAAGTCAAAGGCAACAAGAAGGGCCCTCGCTGCTAGATAAGAAGCCAAAGCCTTCCCATCCCATAATCCTTCACTTCAAAATGGACCCTGAGCCAGAGAGCGTTATTTTTCCTTCTGCAGTGTATAATGGAGCATTGGGGGCTAGGATCTCGAGACGGATCGTAGTGACATACGGTATTTACAGAAATAAAACACTTTTGGGAACGAGCATACTCACACGCCACAGACATGCAGCTGTGCACATATGTTATGCGGGTGCTCACACATTAAGACACACACTGACTCACGCTCACAGACACACAATAGTTTGTGAATTTTTTTTTTCGGGGCACAGTCACAAACAAGTCCTCTTTAAAGTGAGTGGAAAAGTCCCTCCTTCCTCTCTCTAAAAGAATAGTGCAGATGGAAGGATTCTCTCTTCCTCCCCCTACTCTCTCAGCTTTTTTGCTTTAAAGAAAACAATTAAGGTTCCTTAAAAAGCACAGGACAGATAGCTGTGATGGACAGAAGCCTTTCCCCTCCCCCGATCTCTCTGACAGAAATGGGACCTAAAATCAAAAAAAGGTCCAGAGCCCCCTTCCAAATGTTTACATAAAACTACATGCACGAGTAAACTAGGCTCTTTCTCCACCCACCCCCCCCCCCCCCTGCTTGTTCTCTGTCTTTCTCCCTCCGTCCACTCGTCGTCCCTCCGTCCTCTCACTTGCTCTCCAGGTTGTAGCACTGCGTCTCGCCCCGCTCCCTGCCATCGTAGCCGGGAAGAGGCTGCCCGTATTTGTCCACGCACCAGCAGTAGCCCCGCCTCCTGCCTTTGGATGGACGGCACTGCAAAATAAAGAGGAGGGAGAAGAATTAGCGCTTCTTGAACAAGAAGGTTTGCACACACAGCTGGCACCGGCATGGAAAAACATTACTTTTATCTTTAGTTTTGAGAGTGCAGGGAGAGAAAGAACTGGCAAGAAGCAGAGGATTTATCACTTTGAGACACATTGTGAAAACAGATTAGCGTTTCCAAGGTGAGGAATTACGCTGACACAGCTTTATCAACGCAGGCTTCAACGTGGCTACTATAATAAGACTATATCTCTCTCTGTGTTGGCTTTTAAGGTTTTGGATGTGGGTCAAGGGGCCAAGTCGTGCCTCAGAAGAACTTTAATAAGTAGAGATCTCATCGATCATGGTGAGGAATGCCCTGCTGTCTGGAGCTGCCTCCCAGCTTTTATGTGCAGGAACTATAAAGTCCAGGTGATGCAGCTGCTCATAATGTAGAATATGATAATACATATATCAAGATATGAAGTGATAGAGCCTCTGCTAGGCGTCCACGTGGGGCAACTTTGTCCCCTCTGTGAGTTGTTTATTTATCAGGCCCATGTGCTTCTGACCAGTGGGGGTAAACTATGAAAAAGCAGATTATTTTCGATAGAGCGGCGCGGGGCAATGAGGAACGCACTCAGTGAGTGAGAGTGAAAGAGTGTGAAGGCAAACAAGCAGTTGCTAAAATATTTGCCAAGGCCAGTCGGACGGCTGCAAGGAAACCATCGCTGCTATTCTGGGAAACTGGCAGACACTCAACATCATCTGGCGCTGATTATTGGCTGCACGTGCACGAGCGCGGGTGCATGTGCACGAATAAACACACATTAGCAAACATGTCGACGCACACAAACAACAGTTGTATCTACTGTATGTATACCCCCAGGAGCACATACAAGTGTGCAGTAATATCACATGTCCCACAGGGGGCAGTCCAAGTGTTTATACAGTACTGTTTGTTTGGCTCTGTAAACAACAACACTGCATTTCAATCACAACAATGGCTATGGGGTTTAAGTGCTTACTTTGAGGTATAAAGGACCCATTCAAGCCAATGTACTAAAAACCACTTGCCCTAACAAGCAGCCATTCATTTCTGTTTGACAATCAATTAGCAGACTCTTGAAACTGGCTTGAGTTGTTCTGAATGCTCACACTACTCTGCCCTTTGTCCACGTTACATAATTGCTGTGAGGTAAAGCAGTGGAGGGATCTTAATATAATATGCATTACCATGCAATAACTTTCTAACACTGACCAGAACTAATGCAGACTTATTGGTCAATGCGATGGATCAGTTCAAGCTAGTTGATCGGGTGCCTTTCATTTTCATAACGTACAGAAATGAAGACAAATCAGTATCTAGACTGGTAGTCGTTACAACATGTTTTCTCAAATACCCCTTGCGGTTGTGTGAATAATGTCTGATCCTTGCGTTACATTGATTTGGAAGATGCTTTGGCTATAGTGCTTCCTTTACATTTTGTTGTTTACATGCATTGGGAGCAATGTGGTTCAGTGTCTTGCTTAAGGAAACTTCCTGTGGGCAGAAGGATTCAGGAATCAGACCACAAACCAGCTCGGAAGTAGCACAACAATGTTTGCATAAGTACAAAACAAACGGCTGCGTTTCTTCATTTAACACTTGCTGGAACTGCACAGTCAATCTATGATGAGTTGAGTTGCAAAGGTCTTAAATCAACTGCTTGCTTTTTTGTTGTTTTTACCAACGACTCGCAATTTGCGATGATGTGTCAATACGCCACTGGTGATGTGGTTTAATGTATAGGCAAGGCAAGGCAAGGCAAAGTATAAAACAATTTGAGGTTCCACGTGGAGTAAATCAAATAACAGAGCGATTAACCTGTTAACCCCCAAGCCTGTTTTTCAGGTCTCAGGCTAGATAATGACATTTCCAGAACAAATTACTATAACTACACTTCTAAAAGGGGAAAATTAATAATCTTTTTTCTCAAAGCAATGACAAACCTGTGAGTTGGATGTAGAAAAGTCAGAATCAATATAGATGGTTTTTTAAAAAAGAAAATTCAGATTGAACATTTTAGTGTCCGTCCAAACATTATTTTTTACTTATAGTGAAAACCACCCTTGAATGATGGGATGGTAGAATAAAAGCTTTAGGAATCCAAAGTACAACATATAATAAGTACCCTGTATCAAGATTGATGCAAAACAAGTGACATTTGACCTTTTTAGAGAGGTTTAGCAAACCTCTCTTAAAAAATATTATTAACCGTTAGAGCCAATAAAATCGAAGGGGCATTTTCACATAGGGCTACACACCAACGTTAACAAAAAAAAGTGGGGGCTTCGTGCATGCAGTTTTGGCCAGAGCGAACCTCTCTCACGCTCAGACATCTGAAAACGGGAAAGTCGGTTTATTGCTTATGGATTATCAGAAATCATTTCAAAGGGACACAGACACATTGGATTAACCTTCAGCAGCGTTTTTATCGTTGTAATGCCATTGAAGACCACTTTTGACCAGACAATGACCAAGGTAAGACATTTTGCCGTTTTAGCTACCTAGCGCCACATGTTTTGATGTCTGTTTTTGTTTATGAAGTCGCGAGTTCTTATCATGGAGTGATAATATAGGTACCAATCGATTCTGTGTCATCTCACGATGCTAATCGATGGGTTGGACATGCAGCTACGATAACTAATACAGGTGTTATGAGCAGTGCTTGAATTGGAATGAAAAAGGTGCCAGTACTCTAAAATCAGCAACTTTTTCAAGTCAATTTTATATATACAGCCCACAAACAAGAATTTGGCTACTATAATGCTGGTGGATTTGTCTCTTTACTACTGTATATTTTAGAAAGGTTCACTGTACTTAAAAATTTTTATGATAGGCAGCGGATATGGCTAAAGCTCAGTAAGGTCAATATTAACTGAAAATATAGCAATCAAAGTCTAGATCTTCTGCTGAAGACACATGAAGCAGAGACCTTTCAGGTGAGAGCCCCTCTGGTGGTGTTCAACATTAATGACAAGGAAACAAAGCTCTGGTCAGAAGCATTTTTTATAAAAAGCTTTAACAAAATTAAGTATTTCTGTACATTTTGAATGCAATCTAACTTTCCAACTCAGAAAACGAAAAACGAAAAAGTGCCAAAAGTCTTCTCACATGGCTGAGCTGCTTTGCAATATACTTCACCACTGAAGAATACAAATATGTATAAAGTAAACTATGATGCAATCTAACTTTCCAACTCAGAAAAATGATAAAGAGCATGAACAAAGAACATGTAAAAACAAATGCAAAATGTGCACAATCTAAAATGAGAAACTGTAACTGCAAGTAACAAAGTCTGAGCCATGGTAAAGAGTTACATTGAACACCAAGCTGATCAGATAACTCCCTGGTTGGTCTGAAGTCCTTCTATCTCCAGGATCTGTACAAATCGGCACATTATGCCAAAAGTCTTCTCACTGGGTGAGCTGCTTTGCAATATACTTCACATTGTTAGAAAAGGCTCCAGAAGGCCTTGGGGACATCAGTATCAGGGGCTGGAGCTGGACAGGCTCTTTCATCAGCACTTCTCCTTCCCTTTGCCAGCCAGGACCTCACATACTGTTCCGGATTGAACTGTCCTAGTGATGGTCCATTACATTTAATGAAAACCAGGCTGGACAGTCAGGCTGACAGAGAGAGCATTCCTTTTTGCAGTAAGGATATCGTTCATGCAGCTGAATGCCCGCTCACACTCACTAGTGGAGACAGCGATGGTTCGGACTGCTTTCAGTAGAGGCTCCATGGCAGCAGGTGTACGGGATGCCCTGGTTTCCTTGTATTCGCGAAAGCCCTGAACAGTCTCTCTTCTGTCCACTTTCAGCACTTCGCACAAACGTAGCACCTCTACGTCCCCATACTGTACGTCTAACTCCTTTTCAGGCCAACTTCCAGGATGGATAACTTTCATGTCCTGGATTAGCTGATTGTCCCGGGCCTCCCGGCCATGTAATGGGATTTCTCTTGTGCTGACATGAGAGGAGGTTGTGGAAGTCATTCTGTGTCTCAGATTCTCTACCATACTGCGGAAAAACTGACCTGCATGAATCTGTACAAGCCTGCCATTCTCACGCAGGGCAACACCCTTGAAGGACTTCTCAGCTAGAGCTGTATGAACTGTAGTCATGTGTGGGCCAGGCATGGTGACCATGGATTCAAAAACTCGTATTTCTCGAGTTAAGAGCCTATCTGCTGTAGGCAGTGTCATCTCTCTTTTTTGGAGTTGCAGAGAGAGGTCGCTGAGCTCTGTGAGCGCATCGTACATCAGTCCCAGATTGCTGACAAACGTTGCAGATGTGAGCACATCATCCAGGCCCTTGTACTTTGCTCTGTCTCTGGAATCCCTGCTCGTGTCGTTTGCAGCATTTGTGAAGTGATCATGAAGCACTCGGTAGTTTTCCCAGACTGCTCTGACGCTCCTTTCACTTGAAGCCACCCAGCAGATGGACAAAACACGCCCTATCACCAGGAGACGCTGTCCGACTGCTTGCGCACACTGCGCTAACTGCCTCTGATTTTTGGGGGAGGCATGGAACAAGGAATAGAGTTTGTCAAAAAAGATCTGGAAATGATTGATCCCTGAGACCTCCTTGACCACATCCCCAACTGCCAGCTCTAGACGATGATTGGAGCAGTGCCACACAAACAGGCTTGGGAATTTACTACACAACTGGGTAGCAACGCCTGTTCTCTTCCCTAGCATGACTGAAGCCCCATCACATGCAAAAGAAACGAAACACTGACCTAAAAAGTCCTCGTTAAAATCTCTTCCAAGACACTCCATTAACGCCTTTGTGATGTCATCAGCCGTTGTTCCATCCAACTCGATCAGCTCCCAAAAAAACGTTTCGGGCTCAGCATCAGCTAATGCTGAGCGTAGACACACAACAAGCACCGTTTTACCACTAATAGTGGTAGATTCATCGACCAAAACACAGAGTTTTCTTTGGTTTTCTGTAATGTCTTTTGC